TACTCCCGGAACACAAACTCGGGAACCGGCTTCGAACGCGCACGCACTCAGGTCCATCCTTCCAATGTCACTCGCAGATGCCATTTCGAGAAGTCGCACGCGGGTGGCAGGCCGACGGAAACGGCGCGGTCCATTCCCGGGCCAAGCTGGCTTTGGCTCGACCCCATCATGGAACCCTTCCGCGCATATGGTCGCGTGCAACAGAGGAGGCCCTACAGGACACAGCTCATATCCTCGCTCGTCATCTATTTCATCGGCGACCTAGTGGCCCAGAGCATTGCGCCTGACGAGTCCAATCAAGTGCTGGAAGTGGTCGACGATGCAGCGGAAAAGGGCTGGGTCCAAGAATGGAGCGACAACCGTGACTGGGCCCGTACAGGACGCGCTCTCGCAATTGGAGGACTGAGCTCTATCCCATCGTACAAGTGGTTCCTGTGGTTATCCAACAGCTTCAACTACAGCTCCAAGACACTCTCTCTGTCAATCAAGGTGCGTTCCCTTCCCCCCTGATAGCCAACGCTTGCTCATCATTCAACAGGTCTTCATCAACCAAGCCTTCTTCACCCCCTTGTTCAACTCGTACTTCTTTGGCATGCAATCGCTTCTTTCCGGCGCAACCCTGCCCGAGATCCTGGAACGCATCAAGAATACGGTGCCGACAAGCTGGTACAACAGCTGCAAACTCTGGCCTGCCGTCACAGCCTTCAGCTTCACCTACATACCTATAGAATACCGTAGCATATTTGGCGGCGTTATCGCTATTGGGTGGCAGACATATCTCAGTCTGCTAAACACAAGGGCTGCAGCTAAAGAGGAGATGGAGCATGCAGCGATGCACGACGCGCCAGCAAGCGTGCGAACAACACAAAGGCTTGAGCATGGTCTGTTCGAGCAAAAATGCGCTGCGTAGGCTACATCCGCTGCAAACCGACCTTGGAACACTCTGGACTCGTTCAACAAGGCCCACAACGCGACTAGCGTTTCAACATTCACCTGCTGCATCTGTAGCCACTTTTATTTCTTATGTCTGATTCAAGACGGGTATATTGCATTAGAAACGGAGTTACGGATTCCATTCGATACCAAGGGCGCTGCGTAAACGACGCGCGAACACATCAGTCATCACATTAGCATCTTATCTACACCTCAATACATCTCGTTTGTTTTCGCTAGGCTTCGTCGACCCTAGCCCACGGCCCACTCAACAACAGGAAGTACGCCGGTTCTCGGCCCGAGGCTTTGGCAAGAACCCACGCGGCTCCCACTCTGTCCCCCTTTCTGATATCCAGCCGGACGTCATTCAGACAAAAGAAGGCCCCTCGGAGTGGCAGGATCTGCTACAGCTGCGGTTGCTGTTTGAATCAGGAGTTAAAACCGTGGTAAGCGTCGTGTGATGTCATCATGTCGACCATAGTAAATGTGAACTTCAAAACAAGTAATAGAAATTTCACGCCACGCTTTGTATCGAAATTGAATCGTCCAAATTGTTGACAAACTGTTGTTGTTTCTCTGTCCTTGTTCCTAAGATACTCCATTTACACCATGTCTTCTTCAGCAGGCCAACGCATAGACGAAGAATCATATACATCATGGCGGCAACGCTCCGAACTCGAGAAGATGACCGATTTACCCCAGGCTCTGGACGACGAACTCGCACGTCTTGATAATCAATTTTGGATCCCTAGAACCAAACTCGAGGAGATTGTTAGCCGCTTCTGTGAAGAACTCGAAGAAGGCCTCGCTAAAGAGAAGCAAAACATCCCCATGAACATTACTTGGGTGCACAATCTACCAACAGGGAAAGAGAGGGGCACAATAATGACACTGGATCTCGGTGGCACAAATTTGAGGGTTTGCAAAGTAGATTTGTATGGAGATGAAGGCCGAAAACAAGGAGACGGCAAATACGGCATGGAGCAAGAACAATACAAGTTACCGGAAGAACTGAAAAGGGGAGAATCCGATGCTCTCTGGAATTTCATTGCGGAAAAAGTGGAGGCTTTCTTCAAGGATCATAAATTGAACCAGCAGTATAGCACGCAGAAGTCTATGCCACTAGGATTTACTTTCAGTTATCCAGCAACGCAAGATCGTATCGACCACGCAGTCCTGCAGACGTGGACAAAAGGGTTTGATATAAAGGGTGTAGAAGGCCAGGATGCTGCGAAGCAGCTTCGAGAAAAGCTGCAAGAGAGAAAGTTGCCAGTCGACTTAATCTGCGTCATTAACGACACTGTCGGTGCGATGATCGCGTCTGCCTACAACGACCCAGAGACCATAATAGGCGGCATCTTTGGTACAGGATGTAATGCAGCGTAAGAACTGTCCCTGTACGGAATACATATGAGATATACACTGACTTCGTACACGCCGCTGTTAGGTTTATGGCTAGCCTATCCAGCATCGCAAAACTAGATCCAAACGACGAAAGAATCACAGACGCATCATCGCATAATGGAGCGGTCAAGGGCGAAGAGAAAATGGCCATCAACTGCGAATACGGCGCTTTTGACAACTCGCACCGTGTCCTCCCTCGCACGAAATACGACGAGAAGATCGATGCAGAAAGCCCTCGACCTGGCGAGCAAACTTTTGAGAAACTCTCCGCTGGTTTGTATCTAGGTGAGATATTCCGCCTCATATTAGTCGAACTCCTAGATCGCGGCCTTGTCTTCAACCAGGATTCAAATCAAGATACGAGAAAGCTGCGTGAGCCATACATCATAGACACGGGGTTCCTTTCTCAGATCGAGGACGACGAGTCACACAAGTTCACCAAAACACGCGAACTCTTCCAGTCTACACTCTCCCTCAAGCCATCAGACGTTGAGATTGAACTCTCACGTCGACTGGCTGAGATGATCGCGGTGCGCGGTGCCAGATTATGCGCTTGTGGTGTTGCTGCCATCTGCACCAAAGAAGGTATCAAGAAGGGCCATGTGGCTGCAGACGGCAGTGTAGCAAACAAACATCCAAAGTTCAAGAGAAGATGGACTAAAGCTTTGGGTGAGGTGCTGGGGTGGAAGGAGGAGGAATGTGGGGAAGGCGAAGGCCCGATCACCATTACTAGTGCCGAGGATGGGAGTGGACTTGGTTGTGCGATCATTGGTGCTATGGAGTTGGAGAGAAGGACGAAGAAGGAAACTCATTGAAAGATGTGTTATGGGTGCGGCAGATGGGAGGTTTAGAATCCGACATTGTGGCTGTGCAGTGCGTTTTACTCTAAGCTTGAGAAGACTTTCTTTAGCAGAAGGGACGTGGTATAGAGTGTATTACCTCGGGCAAATAAACAAAGTATGACCTGAGTGTTGAACGAGCCGAGGGTAATCGTGATGCGCACATCTGCTTGTGTAGCTACGTATGTTGATCTACAACAAGTCGTAGACGTAGTTGTCGTCCAAACTCTCAAAAGCCGTTTTTATCACATAATACGGGTATCGTGCGTCACCAAACCTGCACTGCAGATCCAGATGGTCATCAAAGTTCGCTATGTTCTGTTTTTCCTGATCTCCTTGTGGTACGATGATTTGACTTCTGATGTTTGGACGAGGCATCATCCGCTTGTGATGGCCGTATGATTCCAGAGCAGAGACCTCACTCAGCTGAGCGCTATACACGATGTCCTTAGATCTTAGCTCGTGGCTATGCTCAGGGAGCAGAGCTACCGATACCCAGTCCCGTTCGGCGAGATGGACAGATCTTGGTACAAAAGACGGAGAGATCAGCACGTGGCTCCTGTATCTCCGGTGTTTCTATAACAACTCTCAGTTCTCAGATTTCTTTTGATGGTGTTCTCCGCGATCGTTCGCATGGCGCGCTAATATGTCCAGATCTAGATGCCCTGAGATCTGTCATGGACCCTGTACGCAATGCCAAACCACGCTAGTCGGCGATCTCGCTCACATCCGCCCACGGTTCGCCCACATTCCGACACACAACTCACCCACGGAAAGCTGAACGGCACGTCGCGCCCCCGCAGCCAACCAGCGATCTGCTTCACCAGCAACACACCGTCATAAACTAGTGTTGCGAAAAGACGTGGGACCTGGTCACGATGTGCGGTGTGCTGTTGGTTGTACCGCTGGCAAAGTGGTGGTGGTGGACCCACAGGTACGGTGGCATGAGGTGTAGAGGTGATGTATGATGACAGGACGTAGGGGTAGGTTCCTTTTTCATCTTTTTTGGAATATCCGGGGCTGTAAGTGTCGAGGCATGTAATGCACCGGTTGAGAGGTGGTGCACGTGCAAGCGTACCGGTGCGGTGAGTCTTGTTGTCGGCGAACTTGCGCAGATGCGTTGCTGCAGAAAAGGCGGTATATAACCTGAAACCGACTTCAGCGGTCAAGAGCACAACGAATTGTTATCCCAGGCTACCGCGGCTACCACCAAAGCGACGATCTTTAAGCATACACCGGTGTACTCCAGCACACCCTTTGCACCCCGGGCCCAATAGCCGAGCACCATCAAATCACAAACACATGTCTAGAGGAGGCTTTCAGGTCCACACCGCAACTCCAATCCGCAATCGGGAAAAAATCGGAGTCACATCCGCAGCCTGGGCACGCGACCACACCCACGCCAGCACAAGTCAAATGTTCGTGCCAACACCATATGACTGCACCACGCCCCCATGGCTGTCGCAAACCAGCCCTTTTCCGAATTTCCCCGTGCAGCAAACATCGACCAACACTTTGCCGGCTTCGCATTTCGCGCCAGACCCACGTCTCCCACGACCAGCGCCTCGTGAACAGGGCCTGCAAGATGACTTGTTCTATGCATTCACACGAGACGCCTACTTATCAAGTGAGACAACCGCCGCGAAAGAGGTAGCACGACATTTGCAACCATATTATCATCCAACAGAGAAGACAAATCGTACATTGCCTTTACCAAGGTACACCAACCAAGGACATAACCACAACAACTTGCAATTCTTCACACCCTTTACACCCTTCACGCCCTTCACACCACTCACACCTACGATACCAAACGCCTTCAACATGGAGGTCACAAGCAGACCACTCCCATCACTACTACCTCAGTCCGCCCCCATGGCTATGGCATCGAAACCAGCAAATGCTGCTCCGTGGTCATTTCCGAACCTCAAGAAGAGGCGCCGTCGTCGAGCAAGCCAAATCTTCAACATGAACTTCAGCTTTGGCTTTGGGTCTCGACGAAAGAGTCAAGACCACTCGCCTGACATCAGTCCGCGAACATCCATATCATCGGCATCAGGCTCCCCGAGATCAGAGGTAGAGCAAAGCTCCAAGAGACAGAGAATCGATTCGAGGGTATCCGATGCAGAGGCGGTATTCTCACCCAACAAGAGCATCAAGATTTCGGGACCCGAGAACACGCCAATAGTCCTGTCGCGATGTGACAGCACGGGTGAAGTGCACCCAGGCCGACTCGTCGACTTCACCAGCAAACCCATTCCCATCGCGCCAGAGCCGATTGTGATTCCTGCTCCTGTACGCAGAAGCCCGGCAAGCGAGTTCGAGCTTCGCTTAAGCAGCGACGCATATCACGATCACCTGGCCACCTCTCAACGACGGAAATCCTTCCCTACTGGCGAATGGGCACCAAAACGGGTCCGTGATGAGGTTCAGATGCTGCATAAGCTAGAGAAGCTCGAGAAGCCCGACACCAAAGTCGAGGATCCTTTCAAGAGATTCAGGGAATCTGCAAGGAAGAGGATATGCACAGTGGAACGGAAGACCAAGGCTTCGGCAACCACCTCTTCCACCACCACGGCGCCAACACCAAGTATGGCTAATGCATCAATTGTGCCATGCGAACTCCGCCGCACACCAAGCGATCCAAGCACTGAGGCTTTCCTTACACACGTCCGTGCAAGTCTCGAAGCGAGGAAGAGGGAGAACAAGACGGGAGAACGCTGGCGTTCATATCCCGTGTTTGCCGACGAAGTCGAGAAGGGTTTTCTCGATGACGCACCGCTATGACGGTGATATGTATAACACTTATGAGACCGCGATCAGCGGCTGGCCGTTTGGATGACTTGCATATCGGAATTGGCGTTTTGAGGGCGGATACCCGTAGTATATCCACATTTTAGCGTGCATATATATACCCTGAGCTCAGTTGGTCAACTGAGCTTCTGACGAACGAACTAATACTACTATTACCACAACATGACATCACTTTCTTCTGTTCTCGTTGCTTCTTCGTTTTCCCAATCTTTTTTACCTCGACAACCTAGTCTATATGGCACCCACAAGTATACTCCATGGGCGTCGCAACAATGGTTCCAAGAGTGAAGTAGTGCAGCACGGTGTCCTCATGTGGATACGTCGTGGCGATAGATGATGTAACGCGGTGACGACTGAGGAAAAGACAAGGCAGAGCATTGGGCAAACGACAGGGTAGAGGGATGATCGTAGCATGGTCGATTAGTATAACATGTAGGAAATTGACGTGCTGACATACTGGAGATGGAAAAGAGAAGAAGGAAAAGGTGTTGAACAATGTCAGACGATAGAGTTTGAATATGGAGACAGAACATCGGGAAGCGAGTGTCTACGTCCCACGATATGCATATCCCAAAGCAAGGCTTGTGTATCCAAGCAAAGACGATGGAAAAAAAATCCATCCATAGCATCGTAATACCCATCCCAAGACGTCACGCCACGTCCAACCCAAGTATAAACTTTCTCGCTTACGATCCCCTACCTACTCTTCCACCGCACCCCTCCAACCCACTTGACCCATCCCTCAACACTCTCCCTCTTCTCCACATCCTCCTCCACACCGCCCACCTGTATCAGCTCAACCGTATAAAAGCTCTTGGCCAACTCTTCGTTTCCAGCTAACCTGTGCACAAAACTGTGACAAGCCCTGCATAACCACGCCACGCTGTTCAGCTTATCTTCTGTATGCCAACCCCTCTTCCTCACGCGCGCATGCGCTGCTTTTGGAATAAGATGGTGGTATGTCAACGGCACCCAGTCCCTGCCGCAAAGTTCACATGCCGTAGCACGCGTACTGCTCCATATGGGTGGTGGCGCGGTGACGGCAGAGATGTACGTTGTGAGGAGAGGTGTGAGCAGGTTGTGTTGGTCGATGCTGTCGGAGGTAGGTGGAAGGAGGCCGTAACTTTCTAGGCTATCGATTGCGGTAGGTGGAATGCGTTGGAGGAGGGTCGTATATGTTGAGGCTGAAAGGGGGGTTGTGTAGAGGTCTTGGAGGTTGGGCGAGTCTTTGAAGATGGTGTGCGTAAGTGTGCGCAGTTCGTGAGGTAGAGACGGGAAGATTAGGGTGCTCAGATACTGGATTGTCAGTCAGTGAGGTTCTAAATGCGTAAGTATGTGCTGCTGGCATACTTCGATGAATTCGCCCAAGTCTTCGGCATCTGTTCCTTCCTCACTTCCACCGGTATTCGCCTCTGTAGATTCCTGCTTCATGACTTCACTCTTCCCGCTTTTTGAGCCTTTTTTCGCATGTCTCTTCTTCTTCGGTTTCGGTTTCTCGATTGGTGCAGCCAGAACTTTGATGATAGGTTCGCTCATGCAGTCGCGGAAGGTCTCGTAGTTGGATTGCTCGCCAGCAGGGATCGGTTCAGCCATGTTGAACAGACTCGCAATACGATGCGCAAATAGGCCAAAGGCTCTGGAAGCTTATGCGCATGATGGAAAACATCAGTGGCGCCATGGCGATGTTCATATATAGTGGAGCGAGTGATGACGGAGTCGTGAACTTTCGCGTTCGCGAGGCGAGGCACTAACTGGTGGGGAGCATAAGGGCGTCGCGGGGGCTCATGGCTCCCACACGAACTCGTATTTGCCGTCGAAGCTTCGAGATGCCATGCCATTTGGAGGTCGCCTGACGATGAGATGTTGTGGTTCGCTGTAGGCGATGCGTTAGGTTGTAATCCACAGTACATCAGACATGAAGCAGCAAGAAGCAGTTTCTGGTTCGTAAACTCTGGGTCATATTCGTCTATTCTTTGAACCATGCGGTATGTCGCATGGTGGTCGCCATGTCGTCTTCTGACTGCTTTCATCAACCCATCATGAGCATTGATTAGCTGCTCGGAGCAAGATAGCCATTCGCGGAGCATGCAGTCCGTCAGCATGGAGCCAGACGCGTTCGCACATGTGCACTGGTGATCCGGCGCCGCAGAACTGACTTGCAACATCACGAAAGCTCCATGTCTAACAACAAATGTCAGATCTAGGCCTTCTTCTTGCCGCCCTTAGCAAGACGTTCGGCCTTGCCCTTGGCTTGCTCTCGCCGCCTGTTCTCACGCTCCATGAGCTCCTTCTTCTCCTTCTCCAGCTCAGCACGCTCTTCTGCCTCAGCCTTCTTTCGCGCAGCCTCAGCGTCCCTGCGCTCACGAACCAGCTTCAAGCGCTCCAGGTCGGCTCGCGCCTGCTCAGTCTTACCCTCAGCGTGTAGTTTGTCGTATCGGTCTTTATTGGCTTGCGCCTGGAGAGCCTCACGCTCGCGGCGAGAGAGCTGGGAGAGGTCCTGTTGCTTTCCCTTTCCCTTAGCGACGGGCTCAGCTTCTGGATCGACAGGGGCCTTTGTGGCTTGTGTACGGGCTTTTGCAGTGTGGTTTGGGTTCGCGGGCATATCATCGTCTTCGTCTTCAGAGGAGTCGGTGGGCATGTCGCCTGCCTCGGGGGTCTTCTGTGACTTCTTCGCAATCGCGGCCGCCTTGCGCTTCTTTGCGAGCTCACGGCGCTGCTCACGCGTCAACTCTTCTTGTTCGGGCTTGCCACCCTCCTCGTCGGACTCTTCCTCCGAAGATTCTTCTTCTTCAGAGGACTCCTCATCGACTTTGTCGGGTTGCTCCTGCAGTTCTGTGTTAGAAGATGATTGTATACTCAAGGTACAGTAGGTACTCACACCCCACATGCCGACGACCTCGCCATCTGCATTCAGCGGTTGTAAGTCGCGCGAGAACTTCTTGCCGCCTCCGCGCTTGACCTTGTTGAACTTGCCGCCGCGGCCACGTCCTGCTGAAGACATGTTGTGTGTTTGGGTTCTTTGTGTGCAAGTAGAGGGTATTGTGTGTCGAGACGATTCGCAGGTGGGACCCGTATGCGCAGTCGAGAGTATTTGGGATTGTAGGGGCGACTGAGGTTGCGGTCGAGCCTGTGATTCTTCTTTTAAGATTCCGAGCGGGAGGAGTCTTTGGTGGAGAGCGGGTTAAGTGCGCTCGTGTAAGGATCGTTCACAAGGGCGAGTGATCTAGTCGTGGAAGTATGAGTCTGTCAAACCACGGCTCGTTAGCCTCCCACTCCACGTTTTCCAATACAGAGAGACTCTTTATTCACCTTTTGTATCCAAGAACTCACTCTGATTCTTTTATTCCAGAAGAGTCACTTCCACAGGCCAACGACAAAACCCCGCGCCCTCGCCCAAAATCCCCTGCCCCACCATCCTCGTCACACCCAACGCGCCATTCTTGATTCGCTCAGCAGACCCATGCTTTTGCACTAACCCCTTCCATACAAGCTCTCCTTAGTCATCCGAAATCTTCGCAGCCGTCAAAACCAACGCGTCGCGCGATCCTCTTCTGTTCATTAAAACTGAACACCCCATTATTCACTCTGTGTCTTCCACCTCAATGGAGATTTGGAGGGGAAAATGGAGGTTAGAATGATTATGCGTTCGCTTACCCCCTTCTCTTCTGCGCTCTGCGCTGGTGGAGCGAAGGTAAATATATTGGACGGTACATATTTTTGCCTGCATGTGATGCTGCGCTTGCGACGGAAGCGTATAGAGAGCTTAACATCGGCTCTTCGCACTCGCTGAAGCTGTAATGGAAAGCTAGCAGTGTTGCTAGTCGGCATTCCGCGTGAAAGGTTTCCTGATGATGGTTTCACGATGCACAACCCGGGCAAGCTATCAAGATCATGTCAGCATCATCTCCTAAACCCTTGAGGCATTCTTGCTTCCACTCAGGACGTTGTCTTTGTCCTGCTAAGAGCTCTATGACGCCTCTCGGGGTTTTCAAATACTTGGAAAAGCTCGCCGATGACTTCCCAGGCCGTTGCTTCAGATCCAGATCTACTCCATTCCCATGGATGGATGCCTCGGATGAGACTTCTTTTGACTCGTGATCGGCTTTGCGATGGAAATAAGCAGTATCCGTCTCTTCAATCGCCATGAATACCCCAACGTACAAGGTAGAAACCTCTACTGCACATGGACTGCCGATCCACTCTTTGTCAATTATGCATTCCCCACAGTTTCAGAGTCTAGTAAAATACACAATTTGACTCTAGCCAATCACTTGCTCTTTCGTTCCTCAACTTCGTACTCACGTGTTCATTTGGCTAGCTCCTCTCTACTACTCCGCCAACTACTATCTCCGACCTTCGATAAAATCAACGAGGCTGGAGCCCCTGACTCTGAATGCACTGTAGCTATACTCAACAAAACAGTCTATACCGGATCCAAGCGATCGGCTGTGAAGGGCTCCAGGCACGGACAACGCTCTTAGGCCAACGATCGCTTCGGAAAACTCACGGCTAAGCAGACTGGACCTCAACTTCTTCAGAGTCAGCGTCTTCCTTCCGGTTGTCAAGACCGTCGCTCTGATCCTGTCACGCCCAAGATACGCTAGCCAGAGCTGGGGAAAGCTCAGTGTTTGGGTCATAGGCCTACAGAGCAAGGTAGATACCGAACCAAGTTCTGCGACCGCCAGGGCCTTAGACACCCAGTGAAGCCGGTGAGCTCCATTCAGCCAGACTCTGGGTTCCATTGATATGACTGTTGAGTTCTGAAGTATGTCAACAGATGCAAGGAGGCTGAGGGTTCAGGCGCAACATCACAAAGCACAAAAGCAGCAAGCTATAATCTGACCGTTTTCATTCTGCCCTACCGATGATGGGAGAGACAAACTATCCTATGTGCTGAAGACCTGACAGGACCGTAAAAGTTGGGTATCGCACGAGAAGATTGAAAAGAATACCCAGATCACTAACTTTTGATGCGCCCTGAAAGAATTCAGGCCATCATCGCAACTGACTCCCTTGTGTTTCGAAGCAGTCTGATTTGCATGGCATCAGATCATGATATCCAGCGAGAACCACCAGATCGAACCTCCTTCGTACTCTAGATGTACCACATGACATCCTTGAGGCCGCGAGCGTTCTGCATCTCCATCAGAGGAGCGATCTCGAAGTTCTGCTTGGATGAGCCAGTGGAGGACTGCTGGTCTACCTTGGACTCCTTCTTGCCGGAAGAGACTGGGTTGTCGTTTAGGTGTGCTCGGGAGCGGTCGGCAGCCAAGTGGGCATAGTAGACAGCGGGGTGGAGAGAAACAGGAGTAGTAGAGCGGACATAGTGGTATGAGTGCTCAAAGATGAACTGCTGAAGCTCGGCAGACAGCCACTCACCCTCGTTGAGAATGCACTGGTAAACTTGTTAGTGTTGAGGAGCAATGGTGGATGTTGACGAGCTATTAGGAGTATGACGTACCTGGTAGTGAATTGGGCGAGCCGTGCCTTTGATGGCGACGTGGGAGCAAAGGTAGAAATCGAATTCGAAGGGATGGGTGCAGCCAGACTCTACCAGAGTACCAGGAAGAGGATTGCCGTTCCTGTCCCCCTTTCCAGTCTCAGGGAAGAAGCGAATGTGGTGTCGCTTGCCGGCGATGACGACAGTGAACTTGGGAATTTCCTTGCAACCCAGCTTCTTGAAGCATTCCTTCATATCGTGGACTTCCTCCTCGAGAACGGCTGCGTACTGTCCCTCTGATGGATGTTAGCTATGAAAAATGTTAATGGAAACAGTGGTATACCTGAGACACCATCACGTATGAAAAGTACACGCTGAGGAGCCTTGCCCTGACCGATCTTCTGCATCCAGTTCTTGGCCATGAATCCAAAGTGCTGGTCGATGTTGGATGTGGTCACCATCTCGACACGGTTTCCATTGGTCTGGACCTCAGCCCAGTACCGAGCAAAGTGAACGTCGGCAGATACGGTTATGGCAGCGAAGGATGCAGCCTCACCTGAGCCGGCTCCAGGAGCAGGGTGAGAGACGTCAGCGCCAACAACTACATGATTTGCGACGTCAGTATATATCTCACGCGCGGTTGGTACTGGGATATCACTTACCCATCGTCGGGATCGAGGCTGACTTCGGAGCAACCTTAGGGATGAGCTGAGACTTCGCAACGCTCGTGGCACCTCCAAGTTTAGCGTTGACCTTCATGCAGACGTTGGAAATGTACTGCGGTGACGCCGACATGACGTGCTTGGCCTGGAGGACCTGGGAAGCTACACCAAAGCGGATGTCGCAAGACTTCTTGATACGCCGGTATACGTCGACGTTGCGGTCGTTGACGACGAAGAAGAGCAGGTTAGGTGGCATCGCGTACTTGTTACCGGTTTGGATCCAAACCTTCTGGATCATCTCACCGCCGTCTACAAGGTTACCAGGACCCATCCACGGTTTCTTGCCATGCTGAGGGTGGGAGGCAACAAGACCACCATGAGCTTCGTAAATCTGCACAAACTTCTGAAAGAATGCCTCGATTGCCTGAGGAGGAGGGCTGCCGCGGCCTTGAACGCAGCACACACCCCATGCCTTGATTGGGCGCTCCTTGTTGTTCATGATGAACTTGCGCTGAGCAGGTCGTCAGTAAACTGTCTTACTCAAAGTAGTGCCTAGAGGGATTCGCGGTACTTACTCCATCGAGCCTCCATCGACCTGCGATCATGTCTGCAGGCTTGATGGTAGCCTCCTTGGATCCAGGACCGAAGTGGACAGTGGGTGAGGGAAGAATACGAGCTTGAACTTTGGCGGCTTCTGGGCTAACCTTCAGGCCATAATGGCGGAGATAGGGATCAGACTGCCAATTGAGAAGTCGAACGCCGGCTTGAACAGCAGCCCAGCGCTCCTTGGGAAGGGTAACAGCGAACTTAATCATGTTGGACGTCTGGGTGTCGCTCAGCTTGGTGGTATATCGCTGGTTTCCGTCGATCTTCAAGACGTCGATAGGCATATAGACAGGCTCCTTGCGGATCATCTTGGTCATCCTGACCTGGTTTGATGTCAGTATATATCTTTTTTTCATTTAGTACAGAACCGTTACTAACCACAGGAACTCCAGCCATAACAGTGACACCATACTTCTTCTTGAAGTACTGGGCGACAGAGATCTTCTTGGAGCGGTCGTCTGGATCGGGGAAAGTGGCTGTAGAAGCATCCTTGTCGACGAATTCATCGATGGTCCTGGAGTTCGAAGTTAGTATACGTCTGCCGTGGATTCGCAAAGCAGAGCTCTTACCATTGTGTAGGTTCCTTGGTATGGGTGGTAGATACTCCAACCTTCTTGAACTTACGGAGGTCCTTCTTGAGCATAGAACCTTTCCAGTCGCGAAGAGCGGTCTTGTACATGGCCGCAAACTGAGGCGGGCTGCAGTTGAAGACCTGGCCGATGGCGCGAGTGAGCTCTTGAGCACGCCAGAAGGTACCGTTGGCGACGTCGACGTTGACAGACAAGGATTTGTTGAACTTATCATCCAAGACGGGACGGAGAGAGGCAAATACACCCTTGAAAGCCTCAACACCGCCGCCAAGGTCGAAGCGAACCTCTCCGCGCTGGAAGAAGGACTTCTTGATCTGCGTGTATTGTTGAGAAGGCCACTCGCGCATGACGTGATCGAGGAAGTTGATAGTGTCGATGCATTCGGCGGACCAAGAGGCTTGACCGTTGAGGAACGCGTTCAGACCAATGAAGTCAACTTGGCGTGTCCAGCGGACATGAATGGTATGCTTGTTGCCACGCGCACCTGGCTTAGTGGGACGGCCTTCCTCTTCGTCGAGATCGACAGTGATGCGAGTATCGTCACGAGGCAGGCGCTTGCCGGACCATGCCAGCTTGTTGGTGTCCCAGACCCAGAGGTTGTTGGGCTCACCAAGCTCAGACTTGACACCTCGGGAGTTCCAGATTTTCTTCAGCAGAACGCGCTTGGAGTAGTCGAGAGCATCACCGCTGTAGTTGAGCTTGG